GTTTGAAATCTAAAATATGAAATCACGATAAATTTATATTTCTGGAAATCTTAGCACAACATTTTTCTGGGGCTTCGAGCCGGATCGAAGGTTGCTTATATTTTTCATTGAACTGTGAAATTAATTAAATTGATGCATGAACTAAATTAAAAGAATTTTTCTTAAAAAGTAACATTTCGCAAGTAATAAACGTGTAGAAAGTGACTAAGCAAATTAAACCGAAAAAAACAGTCAGTTTAATAATACTAAATAAAATATTTTTATTAAAATTGAGAAAAAATTTTAAAATAAAACTAAAAAATCTGATGTTGTCAGCACATAATCGACCGCAATATATATTGCTTAGTTAAGTGAAAGTGTTACAGAATATTATAAAAATGCCTTTTAAATTCTTCTTTCCAATTCTTAGGGCATTAGTAAGCTTATAGTTAACATACCTAGAAAAATGTAAATTTGGCTCTTACTAGAGTTTCGCTTTGTGCCAGCCGGATTCACTGAATTTCGGTAACAACCAGAATCAAATCTCGTTCCGTGGATATGGTGAAAAATGTAAAATCAGATCAGTTTCCGAGCCCTGATTTAAAAAAAAAAATTATATGTTCATTGTTTCAATACGAATAATTCAAATATTAAGTTTCAATGAAATCGGTTGATTATTTTTTTATATATCAGAAATGTATTTTTGGCCCATAGTAAACCACCAGAAGCTTACATTTGAAATTTCAAGAAAATCTGCCGAATATAATGATCAAAAAAGTAAAACAGGCCCGCTAAAAAGTGTAGCTTTGCGAGGCCTGATATATCCCAAATAATTAATCCGTGCCATGGTCGAAATAAACTTACGTATAAAATTTCATCAAAATCGGTTCAGTTGAACTTGAGATACACGCGTGCACACACAGATCCACAGACTGACAGACCGACAGACCGACAGACCGCCAGATCAACAGACCGAAATAGTTTATTTACACTTCCCTACCATGGAGAAGTGCATTCCCACCGAAAACTCGATATACAAAATTTGTTGCCATCACATAACCTACCTATTGTTTACACAATACGTTCGGTAAAAACGTGAAAGTGCACAAAAAATATTTGGAACATAACTGTAAACAATTACTGCTTCAATACAAATACAGTAAAATTATGTATAAAACTTATAATTTCTTAAAACGGATCAAATTAATGTAATAAGTAGGAATTTGCAACTCAGATTAATTTCTATATTACAGTATTTCTGATTAATATGGAAGAAATAATTGATAATCAAATGGGCAAGGCTGATATGATCTTAAGCGAGACTCATTTTTGGTAAAAGTACCAAAAATGACGTCGGAAAAATTGTCGGGTGACTACAAGAGATGGCCGACTTTTCGGGATTTGTTTAAAACGTTGGTGCACGAAAATCAGACACTGAGTGCTGTACAAAAATTGCAGTATTTAGAGATGCACCTGAGTGGAAAGGCGGAACATTTACTTCGTCATTTTCAAGTCATCGAACGCAATTATACCACCGCGTGGTCTTTATTAGAGTATAATAACAAAAGAGTCTTGGTAAATACACAAGTAGAGGTTTTATTTCATCAAAGCAACATAACAAGTGAGTCGGCTCCAGCAGTTAAGGGACTTCTTCATACAATCTCTGAATCCTTACAAGCGTTAAAGAACCTTGATGTTGACATTACCAATTGCGATCCAATAATCTCTTTCTTGCTTATTCAAAAACTTCCACAAGGTTGTCATAAGCTGTGGGAGCCAGAAATCAGTAAAACAAGAAATTTATGACGTTGGAAGACGCTTAAAGAATTTTTTCGAGATAAGATTTCGAACCTTGGAAGCACTTAATTACAGAAGGTTCATACCTCGGGATTTGAAGCCTCAGTCGATAAAGCGCTGGACAGTATACTGAAAAAATTAGTGTAGGTCACTATGACGAAAAAGGTTCTTCAAAATCTTAACGATGAATTTTTCAATGTGAAAATTATTTTTTGTCAACTTGAATGAAATACTTCCATATAAATAAAATTACGTTCTTATAACTAAATTTTCGTAAGTCGAAAAACAATTTTTTTGCCCAAACAAACTTATTCACAAATACGAAACTTTTTTCATCCTGATAAACCAAATTATTTATTTTGAAAATATTTTCATACAAGCGACGAAATAAACCATCAAATGAAATTGTAGCGGTAAATTTTAATGTGAAGAAAATTTTGTTACATTAACGAAGAATATTTCTTCCATATGAAAAAAAATTCTTCATAGTACATACAACATTTGTAATTTTTGTAAACATTTAATGCAAATATTTAAGTTGAAGAAAGGTTCGTCATATGGAATAACAATAATTCAAATGACGAAAGAGTTCGTAATCATGTCTACGATTTCTTCCTAATGAATAACAAATCAAACATTAGAAGACTCTTATTTTTACTTTCTTTCATTTACGTTCAGATTGTTAAAGTGTAACAAGTGTTTTAGAAAGGTGTTACAAAAAATTAAATTTTATTTTGAAAAATTATTATATAGTGATAATAAAAATAAATTATTAATATAATATTAAAAATAGTTTACTTGAAGTTGAAATATAAAATAAAAATAAAATGAAATAGGTAAAATTACTGGATTGTTTCAAACATTTTCATGTAACTTTGTTTTTATAAAATTTTTTACATATTTTTTATTATACCTGTTTATTTTTAACTTTTTGCATTCTCATAAATTGAAATTTATATGTTTTATTTGAATTTATATGAGCATTTTTTATAAAAAAAAATAATTTCACAATATACATATAATAAACATTTAGATTGATCGCTAACAATGACAACGTGTTTTATATGTAAAAAATCTGATTTTACATATACCTCGTTAAAATTACATTTTAAATATTTTCACAGCATTCTAAATATATCAGAAATTGAATGTTGTGAAGAAGGGTGCTATCAGTTGTTTGGTACTTTAAAATCTTATTACCAACATTGGGAAAGAAAAAATAAATTTTTTATTTATAAAAGTAATCTCGAATATTCTGAGATGCCTGTACAAGAATTACCTGATACATTTGCTTCAGCTTCACAGATATTGGCTTCATGGGAACAGTTTGCTAATAAATTCAGACGTTCAAATGGAACGAGTCGAAATATTTATTAATAGATACACTTTGCTTAGCATATTCGTGTTTTATCAGTATACCAATTTTTGTAATAAAAACATTCTAAGAAATCACTTAGCATGTTTGTGTTTGACGAATTTGTAAATTTTTGTGGTGATATAATTACAACTGATATACTTAGCATATTCGTGTTTTATCAGTATACCAATTTTTGTAATAAAAACATTCTTTTCAAAATGAAATCACTTAGCATGTTTGTGTTTGACGAATTTGTAAATTGTTTGTGGTAGTATAATTACAACTGATGTACTTAGCATATTTATACTTCATCAATATTTCAGCTCTGATAATCTAAACATTCTAAGAAAGCACTTGGCCTTTTTTGGTTACTTCGACCTCGCACTTAACCTATTTTACCCACACCAATAAAACAAACGAATACACGTACGGCAATGAAATCCATACCATAAAAAGGGTACCGTGCAAAATTGGTATTGGTGTAAAAAAACGCATTTTGAAAAATTTGTTACTTAGCATACTGTGCGCTTCACCATCGTTAATAAGTATTGGAAAAATTTACTTAATAATAATTTTTATATGTTACTATAACAATATGTTACAATGGTAATGACGGGGTTCTAACCCGTAGTAATGCGGGCTTTGAAATGGTAAAATATTTCATTTGTATGATAAATGAAATTATTCTTTTTGTAAAATGAAAAGTAATTATTCCGAACACACTTTTCTGGTTCACATACTTCTTTGTTTTTAGCACTTTTTCAAAAAATTTTTGAAAAAAAGTGCTTATTAGTTTCACTCTGTCCGTCCGTCCGTCCGTCTGTCCGTAGGTCTGTTTACAAAACTTCTACAGTATACCGCGCTAGGGGAAGCAAGCCACTGCCTTTCTGCGTTTGAAAAATTTCAAAAATGTTTATGGTTTCATTGCAACAAATAGTTAAAAAAGCCCATTTTTAGGGTTTTGGGGGGTATAACTTCTAGAGCGGGAGAGATAGGTAAAAATTTTGTTCTACGGAAGTAAGTTTCTAGTAAAGATCTATGTACATATAAAATTTCAGCTTTCTATCTTCAAGGGTGTAGAAGTTTTGTAAACAAAAAATGTGTCCACGGACGGACGGACGGACAGAGTGAAACTAATAAGCACTTTTTTCAAAAAATTTTTTTAGAAAAGTGCTAAAAATGAATCCACCTAATTTAATTTGAGAATTCTCTTAAATATCTTTTAACAATCTAATAAATTTAACAATCAAATGTGTAAATATAAAAAAATTAAACAAAATTTTCTCCAAAAATAGCAAGGCAGTTTTTCATACTATTACTGTTCTCGTTTCAAAATAAGGTAGTTGTGTAATGTTTGATAATGTTGTAAATTGAACAAGTTTTAATTGAAGTTAAAGATTGCTAAGCCACATTTGGAGATTGAAATGTTTTATAAATCAATAAAAGTGTGAAAAATCTTATGATAAAGCAAATAAGAATATACAAACATATGTATGTAAAATTTTTTCTTAAATTACATTCCAGAACCAACCATCTTTTGTATTAATATTTTATTAATGTTATGATCCAAATTGTAAATTGAAAAATTTTATAAAAGCAATTATTATTGCATTATATAAAGATAATGCAATATAATTTTATCGATGTTTACTTGATTGTGCGTCAATTATTTTGTTGAATGCGGAATTTTGGAGAGGCTTACTTATGCAACTGCGCATTCCGCAAAATCACATAATCGCAAGCTACATCTAATGGTAATGTAAGCACGATTATTTCAAAAAGAAGTTAAACCTCACAAAAACTATTTTTTTTTTATGGGATATTTATTTTTAAATATTTAATATAATATTTAATAGGATATGTGATAAATACATATATGTACAAATTATAAAATCTCATATGATTTATTCATATGTTTCGAAATTATTAAGTTTTTATGTTGCTTTCACCATTATCAAAAAATTTCGTCTCCTCCTTCAGGGTTTTTTGGCTGAAAATAAAAACAATCTTTGAGAAATATTTGTGATACAAAAGTATAATATAAGGTATACAGTTTCTATTAAACTACAATATATGTATGTATGTCATTTATATTTTGCAATCTCAGTAGAAAGGTAATTGGAAGAAATTAGAAATCCATTTAACATAAATTTTTTTATATGTATGTTTTACACTTATTTTTAATGCCATATATATCAATCAGGCCTCCAAGCTGAAAACATTTTCCGAAATTTTGAATCGGAAAAAAATACAAAAACCATTCTTAATGTGGTGCTAAATGGGTATTTATATGACGGTAGAATATAATAAAAAAGACAATTTTCAGATGTTTGCCAGATGTGGAAATTGCAACGTGGCACACCTTGCGTGTAATCGAGGCTATTTAGTGGCTAAGGAATTACAAATAAAGTTGGGTCAAACCAATGGTTTGTATTATAGCACTTTTCCCTTCAACAAGTAAAAATTCTGCTTTTAAATACAGTCTATGTATACCTATCACACTATTAAAATTATTTTCATTCATATACAAAACTATTTCTAGGATTGCATATATTTAGGATGAACGATTTATGCAGTCTTTGAAATAAAGCAAAAATTAATATAAGCAGGGGTTAACATAATGCTCGATTTTAAGGGTTACTTGTGTGAGTTAAGAAAAATAATTATATTTTTTAATATCATGGAATTTACCGTTAACTTTTTGCGTTTATAGAAATTTGAAAAAGCTTGCGGTTTCAGAAATATAAGGTGTCGAAAATTCAAATTTTACAAATTTCAAAAGGCCATAACTTGAGAGGGGGTGGAGATGGAAAAAAATTTTCTTCTAACGAAATGAATTAAATGTTAATGTCTAAAAGCCCCTAAAATTTCAAGCTTCTACAGGCTGGGGTCAAGAAGAAAAACGACATCAAAAATTTGGTAAAAAAGGACTGTAGAAAACGGTAAATTTGAATGGCCATTTTGTTTTTCTAAAGTTTAACTATAGTATACCGCGGTAGGGGAAGCAAGCCACAGCCTTTCTGCGTTTGCAAAATTTCAAAAATGCTTAAGGTTTCATTGCAACAAATAGTTAAAATAGGCCATTTTTAGTGCTTTGGGGGGGTATAACTTCTAGAGGGGGGGAGATAGGTAAAAATTTTGTTCTACAAAAATAAGTTTCTAGTAAAGATCTATGTACGTTTTCAGCTTTCTATCTTTAAAAATGTAGAAGTTTTGTAAACAGACACACTGACAGACGGACGGACGGACGGACGGACGGACGGACGGACGGTCGGACGGACGGACGGACAGAGTGAAACTAATAAGCACTTTTTTTCAAAAAATTTTTGGAAAAGTGCTAAAAAGAGAATGGAATTCGCCAGTAATCCTGAAAGGACCCCACAAAGAATTAACGCATTTGCATTAACACGGTAAAAAATTGTGTTACATGCTCACAAATAGTTTGCAAAATTGAAGACGATTATATAGATAAAAGAACCATTGGTGCAGTGGTGATGGCACCGGCCCTTTAACCGAAGGATCTCGGGTTCAAACCCCGATCAGGTTACTATAAAAATTATATTCAATATTATATAACTTAATATACAGTACTAATGAATTTTATATAAGTAAATTTTAAATATTCATAATATTCGATATTAAAAACTAAGAAAAATAAACAGTAAATATTAATAACCTTAAATATTTTATATAAATAAAAAAAAAATACGATAGGCTAGTCACCTACCTAGTTAAACTCTATGACGCTATGAAACTTTTTACGGGAAAAAACTAGGGCATGATATCATGCACTAATCCTATACTCCTCCTAGGAGTGAAGAAGGAAAAAAAACCAAAAAGATAAAGACCTAAGAAAAACGTGACAATAATACAACGCCAGCATTTAATGTAAATGATGAAAGATATGCTACAAAGAATTGACGAAATGGAGAATATGTATTCTACTATGAATAGGAACTACTATGGAGAATAAATATTCTAACGTATATCTAACAACCCTGAATTTCTTAAACAACCTTCGATTTCTGAAAAATGTCAGCAAATTAAATACAAGTTATCTAAAATAATGGCATTCCATGTAGAAAGTACAAATTCGAGATTTTTCTTCGAGCTAAGAATATCGTGTATGTCTGTCAGCCGCACGCTTGGGGAACGATTTAGATGTTATAGATTCTGGGTTATGAATTCTATAGGGTAGTTCATCCTATTTTAATTAAAAAAATCATAAAGTAATGAAAGATCCAAAATAGAGACGGAGAAGGTTCAACTTGTTATGGTAAAAATTGAATTTACCAAGCAGAACTTCAATGCTGGTCCAGTATATTGTCACAATAAGCAGAACTTCAATGCTTGTCCAATATACTGGGACGTTACTATAATGCCCAGCATGCGGATTGGGATAAGAGTGACCTCAACTAGAGGTAATGGATTAAGAAAGCTATGCGCGAGTTGGATGTTCCTATAATTCTGATGCCAGTTCGACTTCTTGGCCTACTGATGCCAATGAAGCCTGGGATCTTATTGACTTTTTGACCCTTAGTTAGAAAATAGCCAAAAACGAAGCGAACTCATTTTAGTCAACAAAATCAACTGATTGGGTGGGCTTTAAGCATGATGTTATTAGACATAAAAAACTTAATGTTGAACTGTAGACTAGAGATAGAGAAGTCGCCTATAATGCATCCAATACATATACATAATCCAGTAGACAATAATTTTACCTTCATATAATGCACGGACCGTACGATGTGTATACATACCTACAATGATAAAGAAATACACCAGGCATCAATTATTTTTATGAAAAAATGTATACACATTTGTTTTATATAAAAGCAAAGTTGGTAAACACACATGTTCTCATATTGCTCACTATTTTGAATTGTTTCTATTACTAAATGCAACCAAATATTAAATTTAAAGTGACTTTTATAGCAGAACTTATGTTTAAAATTAGATTTTCTGGAAGTTTAATAACACTTTTGTCATTTATGAAATTATTTGGATAAAAATACTTATCTGATATTCTTTTGGATCTCTTCATTCCCTAGGAATCCTTATTGCGGAGGGTTGAACAGTATGTTCTTTCTCCACCTTATGTCTGGATTATATATGTATATTTTTTTTTGTTTTCATTTTATAACTTATTTTAATTTTAAAACTTTGAGATTTAAATTTAAAATCTTCGGAAGCAAAAACTAAACACACCGCACACTTGTTAATTACAAAATATTTGCATTCAAATAATATTTCTGCATTTTTGTAGCTTTTGCTACTTGAAGGAGTCGTTTCCGGTATGGACATATATATATATATTCTTGCTCAGCGTCAAATTCTGCGTCGATTTACACATGTCCGTCCGTCCGTCCGATCGCACGATAACTCAAAAACGAATAACGCAATCGACATCAAACTTTCACAAGTTGTTTCTTTTGTGCCAAGGACGAACCCTATTTTTATTGGACCAATTCGGACAACGGGTTCGGGTAGCTGCCATACAACTCAAAGAGTTTATTTTAAATATTTCAAAAACTAATAAAGAAATCAATATAAAATTTTGTATACATGTGTCCAATTATACTCTACATATACTTTAAAAATTTTAATGGGATGGCTGCCCGGTTCGGGGGGTGCCATACAACTTCAAAAGCAAATTTTTTTATATTCGGCAAAATAATAAAGTCAGATTCATGAAACTTGGCAGTCGCGTGTCCAATTATAGATCAGATATATTTGCGAAGTTTTAGTTGAATTGCTTGACAGGTTCGGGTACCTGCCATACAACTCCAAAAGCTAATTTTTAATATTTGGAAAACTAATAAAGTCAGATTCATGAAACTTGACAGTCGTGTGTCCAATTATAAGTCAGACATATTTCTGAAGTTTTGGTGGAATTGCTTGACAGGTTCGAGTAGCTCCCATACAAGTCCAAAATCTTATTTTAAATATTTGGAAAAATAATAAAGTCAGATTCATGAAACTTTACAGTTGTGTGTCCAATTATAGATTAGATATATTTGCAAAGTTTTAGTGGAATTGCTTGACAGGTGCGGGTACCTGCCATACAACTCCAAAAGCTAATTTTAAATATTTGGAAAAATAATAAAGTCAGATTCATGAAACTTGGCAGTCGTGTGTCCAATTATAAGTCAGACATATTTCTGAAGTTTTGGTGGAATTGCTTGACAGGTTTGAGTAGCTCCCATACAAGTCTAAAAGCTTATTTTAAATATTTGGAAAAATAATAAAGTCAGATTCATGAAACCTGGCAGTCGTGTGTTCAATTATAGGTTAGACATATTTCTGAAGTTTTGGTCGAATTGCTTGACAGGTTTGAGTAGCTCCCATACAAGTCTAAAAGCTTATTTTAAATATTTTGAAAAATAATAAAGTCAGATTCATGAAACTTGGCAATTGTGTGTCCAGTTATAGGTCAGACATATCCGTGAAGTTTCTATAGAATGGTTTCACAGGTTTGAGTAATTGCTATACAATAACGAAAGGTTCAGGGTATAATTCAATCGGTTTATACCGACTGAAACGTTTTTACTTGTTCTTTTTACATTTTGCTCTGTTATAAACTTTGTTGTAAATTATAAATCTTAAAAAGTAGTAAAATAATGTGAAGGTCAATAACCGCAAATTCCATATTCTTTAATATAGAAGTCAAAATTTATATGAGGAAAAAGTAGGTGTGATTAATGAAACAATTTAAATCGATTAGATTAATGAAACAATTTCTTAAATTAAAATTAAGTTAATAATATATTCTTGAGTTAGTTAGCTATGAGTTTGAAATCTAAAATATGAAATCACGATAAATTTATATTTCTGGAAATCTTAGCACAACATTTTTCTGGGGCTTCGAGCCGGATCGAAGGTTGCTTATATTTTTCATTGAACTGTGAAATTAATTAAATTGATGCATGAACTAAATTAAAAGAATTTTTCTTAAAAAGTAACATTTCGCAAGTAATAAACGTGTAGAAA